GTTTTAAATTGATGAGGGGCCAATTTGAAACAATTGAAAGATAGTAACTATTGAGTTGCTACTATTATTTTATATGGTTATGGTCCCCATTTGTTGGTGTTCTTGAGGTTCTCTACATCCCCATCAATAGAGAGCAATATTGAAGCGAATACCACCAATTAATTGGAAGATCGTAACTCATTCAAACTAAGAATCAGAAATCTAGATCGTAACTCATTCAGACTAAGAATCAGAAATCTATGTATCAAGGTATGTTTATACTTCCGCTATTTTCATTCTCGTTGATTTCAATATAGATGGTTATATTTGAGAATTAAGGTTTTGATTATTATTTTGATCGATAATCTTATTATGTATTTCTAACAAATAATGCTAGAAAGAAATTCAACTTTGATCTTCTTTAGCCTTATTAAAACACTTCCAATGTTGAGCCGCTCCTCGGGCAAATTAGTTGTGCATTCCAATGCTAGTCTCATGATTGATTTGAAGCAGATCTCTTTAGCTTTCATATTCTCTTCAACTCCATCCACTAAATCCACATCCATTATCTGCATTATCGCGTTCTGGTATAATTCAGACACCCACCTCCTCATGGTCAACTCTCCGACGTATATATCATCTGTGGGCTTCTTCTTTGTAAAGGTTTCCATCAACACAATCCCATAGCTATAAACATCTGCCATAGTCGATATTATTCCCATCGATCCATACTCTACAATTGGCATTTGTGACTAAAATTAAAAAGTGATATTTTAAAACGATAAATACGTATATAATGAGGTAAATGGGAAAGGGAACACTCGTAAAAAAGTTCCCATGGATTTGAACCAAGAAGAAGATGATGATGATCAGAAGAGTAAAATGCTACATCATCTGTTTATCTAAATTTTCTTGATCTTTCATAGAACAAGGCAACAATTACTGCAATCAAGCAAACTAAATATAATGTTTGCACGAAATTTATGAACAATTATGTATTTAATATATAACTCTATATGTATATAATTGAGAAAACCGTTTACCTGGTGCCATATAGCCAATGGTACCCAAAGTATTTGTCTGTGAAATTCTCTGGTCTTGTGGAAAGAGCTTGGAAATGCCAAAGTCACCTACATGGGCTACCATATCTTCATCTAGAAGTATGTTGCTGGGCTTCAAATCACAATGTACAATTGGGGAGGGATACCAATGATGAAGATATTCCAATCCAGATGCCACATTTATCATTATTTCCAATCTTTGAGCCATGTTTAGGCTATAGTCATAAGAGTACAACCAACTGTTAAGGTTTCCTTTAGGCATATATTCCAACACCAAGGCTTTAAGATCAAGATTGGAGCAACTGCTAATTACTTTGACAAGATTTCTGTGACGAATTTTGCTCAATAAGTTGCACTCAGTATCAAAGCTCTTGTTTGTGCCTTCCATATCTAAATTGAAAACCTTAATAGCAGCAATCATTCCATCAGAAAATATTCCCTTGTATACTGAACCGATACTTCCCCTACTAATAAGATTCTCTTCATCGAAGTTATTAGTAGAACGAAGAACCTCAAAATATGAAATTCTCTTGATGGTAATGGGGAAACTAGTCTGATCTAGAAAAGTTGCGTTTCTATTATGGTGACTCAACCACCACACCATTACAATTACTAGACTTACTGCCAAGGCACTTGGTGGTAAAATGTATTTCAAAAATCTGGTCTTGCTTGACGATTTTGATGTGTTACCTTTGCATGGCATGACCTTAAATTGAGATGCTCCGCATAATTCATTATTTCCCATGAAAGAATAAGCTGTTAACTTGTTAAAAGGCCCTCCATTTGGAATTTCACCTTTGAGTTCATTGAATGAAACATTGAAATACTCAAGGTACTTAAGTCTCTCCAATAACTTGTGGAATGCACCACTCCATTTGGAATTTCACCACTGAGTTCATTGAAGGAAACATTGAAATAAACAAGATACTTAAGTTTCTCCATTGACTTAGGAATTACACCATAGAGATTGTACTTGGACAGGTCCAAAATTTGTATCGCTATCAAATTTGCAAATGACTCAGGTATAGGACTGCAAAATTGATTGTTTGATAATTTTAAAATTACCAAACTCTGAAGTTTCTCAAGAGTGCTTGGAATCTTGCCTGAGAACTGATTTCCCGATAAATATAACTCTCTCATCCCCTTCACACTGCCAATTTCTAAAGCCAGAGTGCCAAAGAACAAATTATATGACAAATCCATTATTTGAATTTCCCGGTTAGTCCACAGTGTGGATGGGATAGTGGAAGACAATGAGTTGTAAGATAAATTCAATTCTCGTAAAGAAGTAAGATCACCTAAACAAGTTGGTAGATGTTGAGAGAGCTTATTATTTCCTAAATCGAGGTGATACATATTTACCAAATTGCAAAGGTCGACAGGTATTGACCCTCCTAGTTTATTGTCATTAAGACCCAACCTTTGTACCTTCTTCAATTGACTCAACATGTCAGGAATTTTACCTGTCAACTCATTGCCTCCCATTTCCAACCAGAACAAGTTGCTGAGATTGCCAATTTCACTAGGAATCAGGCCTTTGATGCCGCAAGAATTAGCACAGAATATCTGAAGAGACTTCGACATATTACCCACTGCTTTAGGAATTAGCATTCCGTCAAAATAATTGTATTCCATCTGTATGGTCTTCAACTTCTTACAATTATTCAACGAAATAAGAAAATCTAATTCCTGCATTGAAGGATCATTTGTCAACTCGTTATATGCTATGCTTAGATATCGGAGGTTTTGCAAATTCCCAAGATTCATGGGTACTGATCCACTGAAGGAGTTGTAACCAAGTTCCAGTGTAGCAAGTTTAGACAAATTTGAAATGTAATGAGGGATATCTCCACTTAATCTATTAATAGCAAGATGGAGATTCTCAAGATCAGGGAGACCATATGCTACTGATGATGGAAGAGTACCCGAGATATTATTATCTACTAGTGCAAGTAGTTGTAACTTGGAGAGATTGAAGATAGATTCTGGGATTTCACCCTCAAGCTTATTAAAGGAAACAACGATCTCCTTTAAATTCGATAGATGTCCCAATTCAGGAGGGATCTGCCCTTGAATATTGTTGGCACGAATACTGAAACTCTCCAAATGTGACATTTTTCCAATTGAATGTGGAATATTACCTGCGATTTCTTTTTGTTAATGCCCCAGGATGAAATTTATTTCATGAAAAAAATGAAATACCAAAGGGTAGATAGTTACCTGTCAAGTTGTTCGAACGCAAATCTAAATGGTAAAGAACTGATAAGTTTCCCATTTCATCTGGAATACTTCCTGCAAAGACAACACTGAAATATCAAACATCTCAAATATTGTTTAAAATTACAGACTGTGAACTTTATAATATTTAATAGAAAAATTTATCAGTTTTGAATGGGTGAAATATTCTTAGGGTCATTGCATTTCATTTATTTATGTCACTTTTGTTAAAATCACTCTCTATATTCTTTAATTTTCCATATACCGATTTAGGAATTCTGTGACAGTTAAAATACAAGGATGCTTGAAAATCTTTTATAAATATAGTTTTTTATTTTGTAAAACCTCTTCAAATCGAACACTAGTTTTTACCCCCATCAAATGGTCACCTTCATAGGATTTGGATTCCCCTACCCTTAGCAGAAACGAAAAAGAATATAATGAGGCAATAGCAAGCTTTACCTCCAATAACATACGGGAAATCCCTTCATATAATGATTAGCATACTCATACTTTAAAAGTGTCAAGATTTAGTCACTGAAATCAATCATGTAAGTCCTAACTCATGGTCATATTGATTTGGCTCATGATATGCTTACGTGGTATCACCGTCATGGGCAGATTTAGCGTGGAGACAGCGGGGTTGGCTGCTCCCGTACTAAATTTCAAATTTTACCCAAGATTTTTTCAAAAATGTCAAAAATATTATTATAATTTTCAATCTTTGTCCCCACAATTAAAATTTTATGAAAATTGTCCCCACAATTCTTTTATCCTAGCTCCGCCCCTCATCACTGTGGGCATTAATTTCCGAACTCAAGGGTGTTTATTGAACAAATATCCTAAAATCGTCATAAAACAATGTTAATCCAAAATGGTTTGTGTAATATTCTGTTATGACACTTTCATGCATGAGGAGTAGTCAACTGTCATAGATGGCATCCTAGACAGATTTTAGAAGACACAAGAGAGTGAAAGATGGTGACTTATGTTGTATTTACATGTGAAAAACTGGTTGCCTTCATTGAGCTTCCACCTTCACTTTCTCCTGGATGTTTTTTCGAGTGCAATATTGTTTTTGTTTTTCTAGCTTCACATGTATAGGGGGAGTTTGGCATACATCCCTACTTGTAATTAATATATACAAAATCTATACTAGGAAAGGAACATAACTACCTTACTCTTGAATTACAATATTAGGATCTTGAGAAAAGAATTTACCTTTAATTTTTCCTAGATCTCACAAGTTCGGTGCACTGATATAAGTCTTATGATTACCGACATTGAAATAACAAAGCCCCCTACTACTTAGTTGCATTATGTTCTCTCCATGTTAATTTCTATTAGGACTAGAAATCTAGAAAGCTTTGGTGACAAAAAGATTCTTTGTTGCTCACATATTATCAGAAATCAACGAATTCACCAAAGGTATAATCCTTATCAACAAATTTTATTTAAACAAAAAGATGGTCAACTTTTGGGTATTGAAATCTACTTTACCCCTTGTTCGAGTCCCATTTTTCACAAAAAAAAGGTTTTGTAATAGTGATTTTTTTGGAGAATGTATAGTTAAAAAGTAGAATTTTTTTTGAATTTATGTGCAAATTATTTTATTGGTTGAATGTGTGGTTAAAAATTAGTTTGAAATAAAAAATGAACTTTTGGATAATGAAGTTCAGAGATGACATCGTTTTTGTTAAGATTTGTATAAATTGGGTTGCAAGATGGGTATTGTGGCTTGTTTATGCTGCACGAAAGTTCGTCGACAACAAGAGTTCTTGTCTTGGTGAAGACTATATCTATCCCTCAATTTTGGAATTTGAGGGGCCGTAGATGCAATTTGTATTTGGGACTTTTGATGCAATTCTCAGAATGTGGGGATAAAACTGCAATTTTTATACTTTCATGATCTTCAAAATTATGTTTTAAAATTAGATTTTGATCTAGTTTTTAGTTTTGTAAGATTAAACCATTTGACCAGAATTTGACATTTGACCGAAATTGCACCGAAATTTGAAATTTATTAGTTAAAGGTTAAATTGAATCTTGTTTGAAATTGAAAATTTGAACAAAATTCAATTTTGGCTAAAATTGAGATTTTGAACTAAATTGATAGAATTGGGGATTTTGACCAAAATTGAGAATTATAACATAATCTTGATTTCAACCAATTTTAGGGTTTGACTATGAATCGGGTTTTACAATCTTTATTACACATATTAGAAAATTTATTTTGCGTAAGAAGTTTATTTTTCTTACATGGGGATTTATTAAATTATCTTAACTCCTTATTTGGTAGAAATTAAAATCTAGATTTTAATCTAAATCGAAATTAACAATTAATTTTAACTACATATTTTATAAGATCTACAACTTTTTAACCACACATTTGATAAATTTAAATTTTGATTACTTAATCCCCACCAAACTGGGGCTAATACGAAATATTCATAAATACAATTCTCCAAACAAATATACAGCTACTCCAGGGACGGATCCAGGACCAGATTACAGGCTTGGCTAATAAGTTAAAAAAATAAAATTACTACTGTATGGACATTATGATAGGTCAATTTACATGACAAAATTGTTTCGCAGGTTCTAGTTTCCAATAAACAAGGTTTAACAGAACTGCAGCAAAGTTTTAGGACACCCGCGGGCATTTTTACTCTACAAAGAAATAGTTATTGTACAGCGTAGAAACATACCTGTTAGAAAATTTGCTCCAAGGTGTAGAATTTGAAGCTCAGATAAGTTCGCAATCTCCTTTGGAATTCTTCCAATGAACTTATTAATTGACAGAGAAAGTAGCTTAAGTTTCCCGCACGATCCCAGACTTTGTGGAATATGGCCACCTATCACATTCGACGAAATTCGTAGTCTTTCTAGGTTTGGAAGATTGATGCCAGTATCCATGGGAAGTGTTCCAGAGAGACTGTTATTAACAAAATCGACTTCTACCAATGAAGAAAGGTTGAAAATCGTGTTTGGAATATGTCCAGTGAAAGAGTTGTCGGACAAATTTAACTTCCGAAGATTTTTAAGAAATCCCAAACTCATTGGAATAGAACCATTTAGCTCATTGCATTGCATCTCTATTTGGCGGAGTCGGCTTAAATTACCCATTTCATAAGGTATAAAGCCATGGAAATTGTTATTACTAATGACCAAGGAATTTAGAAAAGAGAGTTTCCCAATTTCTTTAGCAATAGTACCTCCAAGACTCATATTTGCAAGATTTAAGCCAATCACTCTTTGGTGCACTCTATCACAAGTAATACCAATCCAATTACAAAAAGGAGTTCCTTGTGACCAATTATGAACCAAGATTTCATTTGGATCATAATTTATTCGAGATTTGAAAGCTAGAAGAGCATATTTATCAGTAGAGCTATTGAGAGAAGTGGCTACGCAAATAACTGGGTAAAGCATTGCCAATAGTGTCAAGATCACATTCTTGGCCATGCTTAATCTGATATACAGAATGAACTTTTTCTTGGGAATGAAATAAGATGCTGAGTATGTTTGCTGCTTGGAATTCTTAATTTAAAGGAATGGTGCTCATCATTCCAGTATTGACTTGACTTGGGTGAAAGCAAAAATATGAGGAACCAAGTGTACTTTACATTAAACAAAAGTGTAAATTTTTTTAACCAAAAGCTTTTGATAAACAATTATGTGCTTGTTTGAGATAACTTAAAAACTTCTTAAAAAGTTGAATTTTAGTCAATAATTAATTTTAACCACACATTTCATAGATTTACATCTTTTTTCGAACTTTTGAACTACATATTTTATCGACTTTTATCAAAATATACTAGTTTTTTTTATCAAAAGCTTTGTCAAAAAAATATATCTTATACCATATAATCGGTCTACTACATCCGTGGTTTTGGAAATCTTATTTTTTATTACACAGACTTTTACTTTTCAAGCTATTTATTGATAAATTGGAGATAATTTTTTTGTTGTCATAATTAATGATCATAATTGACTATCATCTTGTATATTTTTCCCAACTTTCATAAAACATTTTGTGATTAAATACTAAAAATAATTATTTAACCGCAAAATTGACCGTTATTGATGAATTATTTTTAGGTTAAATTTAATGTCTAGCGTAACGTAATGATGTCCATATCTTATAAACGGCGTAATCAACTTAAAATGTGAAATTCAATTTAATGAATTCCAAGGTATTGAATTCTTCCAATTCAATTTAATGAATTCCAAGGTATTGAATTCTTCCAACGTCCAATTTGGTTGCAAATTGGTCTTCGATAGAATAAAGATGAATAAGCTGTTGACTTCCATCATGATACTGATACTTCCTTCATTCTGTACACAGAATGATGAGAACTGAATGTTAAAAAGTCAACATAATTATTTTCCACAATTTTACTGACTTGACTCTGGAAAAAATGGATGGCTTGGAATTGTGGAAATCCTGCCCTAGTTCAGTTTGTTCTGTCACACGGACTTCCACATGCTCATTCCTTATTCTTTTGTTTGCTTCTGAAAATGGAAGTTGCATTCAATGAAATAAGTGAACAATTCTTCCTTCTTATCACATTGCACAATAGACGCAATCATGGAATTATAGAAAGTCTTAATGACGGTTGGTTGACCTATCCATCGCAGAACACTTTCTCGTTTGAACCAACATAATGGAAAGTTAGGCGTGGAAGAGAACAGAAAAGGAACTCAGAGGTCTATGTAGACATATGTCGACACAACTCCCTTTTTCTCTCATTCACAAAAACCAAACACGTAATTCATCAAAGTCTATTGCAAAGTATTCCAAAATCAGATCTTATATATTGATTTCCAAAATTTAGTGTATGAGTTTTGCTTGTATCTTATTTTCGGACAAGAGAACATTCCTCGGTGCAAATTTATGGGGGAAGAACATTTTGTTCATTGTAACATTTACGTCCCTAATTAAAAAAATGAATAATTATATTTACACTAGACTTTTTATTATTTGTACCACTTTAGTTGTACTTAAAGTCCAAAATCTATGTTCATTGTAGGACTTGCGTCTTTAACTTTTATTCTTATTCTCTATTTGCAAGCCAAAGGAAAGAATTATATTGTCTGTTTGCAGTGGTTTGACTCATTGCACAAACAGTGTTCATTACAACCTAGTAAGATTTAACAGATTGAAAAAAATTCAAACTAAAACATGCACTGTACCATAGCAATGGAGGTCGAACCAACCTTTAATCTTTTATCAAATATTCTGCAATTTCAACATAAAACACTTTCGAGAGATGATAAGTTACAATAACAATCAATATAAAGCATGGACTCAAAGAGACCAGAATAATGAATAGCAAGGATAAAGAAGTTTTAAGCATTCAATGAAATGAAAAAATAGTTTATGATTTCATCAATGATACAAAACAAACCTCTTTGTCTCATTCTTCCTCGGTAACGTTAGAAAGAAATTCCATTTTGATCTTCTTCAGCCTTATTAGTACATTTTCCATATTGAGCCTCTCCTCAGGCAAATCAGATGTGCATTCCAGTGCCAGTCCCATAATTGATCTGAAGCAGCTCTCTTTAGCTACAATGTTCTCTTCAACTCCATCCACTAGATCCACATCCATTGCCTGAATTACTTTATCGGGGTATAATTCAAACAACCATCCCCTCATACTTAAATCTCCAGCAAAAATATCGTCCGTGGGCTTCTTTTTGGTAAATGTTTCCATCAAGATAATTCCATAGCTATAAACATCTGCCATAGTCGATATCAATCCTGTTGATCCGTACTCTAGTGGAATTGGAATATAAGACCACAAATTGACCAGTCAGATGTAAATGATAAATAAGCAAATAAGAATTAAGTAATTGATAAGCGTAAAGAAAGCACAACGTGACTTTAATCCCCTATAGATTTAAAACTAGAAATGCGTTACATGTTTATACACTAAATAAAATATTAGCAAGACATTTATGTGCATCACAGTTAATGTAGGAAAACTTGATAAAACCATTTACCTGGTGCCATATACCCAATGGTACCCAATGTTTGGGTATGTAAAATTCTCTGGTCTTCTGTCAAAAGTTTGGAAATTCCAAAATCTCCTACATGGACAACCATATCTTCATCTAGAAGTATGTTGCTTGGCTTCAAATCACAATGAACCACTGGGGAAGGATGCCCATGATGTAGATATGCCAATGCAGATCCCAAATCTATCATTATTTCTAATCTCTGATCGATGTTTAGGCAATAACCGAAAGAGTACAACCAACTACTAAAGTTTCCTTTAGGCATGTAATCCAGCACCAAGGCTTTAAAATCAAGGTTAGAACAGCTGCTTATTACCTTGACAAGATTTCTATGACGAATGTTGCACAATCTTTTGCACTCAATATCAAAACTGTGGTTTGCACCTTCCAAGTCCAGTGACAAGATTTCTATGACGAATGTTGCACAAAATGTTGCACTCTGTATCAAAGCTCTGGTTCGCAGTTTCCAAGTTCAAATTGAAAACCTTAATAGCAGCAATCATTCCGTCGGAAAATGTTCCTTTGTATACCGAACCAATACTACCTCTACCAATCAAATTCTCATCATCAAAGTTGTTGGTAGATTTAAGAATATCATAATATGAAATCCTCTTAACGGTGATGAGTGAACTAGACTGAGTTGTAAGACCTGTTTTTCTATTGCACCGTGTCATCAACCAAATCATAATAATGGCAAGGATTATTACCAATGCAACTGATGGTAAAACATATTTCAAAACTCTAGTCTTGGTCGATGATCTAGCTGTATTAGCTTTGCACTGCATTACCTCAAATTGAGATGCTCCCCATAAGTCTCTATTGCCTGTGAAAGAACTTGCTGTTAAGTTCTTAAAAATCCCTTCATTTGGAATTTCACCACTAAGTTCATTAAACGAAACGTTTAAGTACACAAGGTTCTTAAGTGTCTCAAATGACTTGGGGATTACACCAAAGAGATTATTGTGAGATAGATCCAAATATTGCAGTGCAATCAATTCTGAGAACGACTCCGGTATAGATCCATGTAACTTATTGCTCGAAAAAATTAGGTTTTCCAAATTCTCAAGTTGTCCAATAGTGTTTGGAATATCACTTGAGAATTGATTTCCTGATAAATTTAGCAATTGTATCCCCTTTACGCTGCCGATTTCTGAACCCAGAGAACCATTAAGATTATTATAAGACAAGTCAACAATTTGAAGATCCTTGTTTGTCCATAATACTGATAGTTCAACTGAAGTCAATTCGTTGTGACCTAAATATATTTTTCGTAATGAGCTAATGTTTCCCAAGCAACCTGGCAGTGGACGAGAGAGCTGACTGTTCTCCAAATTCAGTTCAAAAAGACGTCCCAACTCACAAAGGGTGTTTCCCAAGCAACCTGGTAGTGGATGAGAGAGCTGATTGTTCTCCAAATTCAGTTCAAAAAGACGTCCCAACTCACAAAAGGTGACAGGGATTGACCCGGTTAGATTACAGCTATTAATTTTCAGCTTTTGCAACTTCTTCAATTTGCCCAGTGCGTCAGGAATCCCTCCGTTCAAGTCATTGCCTCCCATGTCTAACTGTATCAAATTGCTGAGGTTACCAATTTCGTTGGGAATCGGGCCTTTGATGCCACAAGAACCAGCATCCAAGTGCCAAAGAGATTCTGTCCAGTTACCCAAGGCCAGGGATTTTGGAAGCCTTCCATCAAAATTGTTGTTTCTGATCCGTATGGTCTTCAACTTACTACAATTTTTTAACGAAATAAGGAAATCCAATTCCAACATTGAAGGATCATTTGTCAGCTGATTATCAACTATACCTAGGGTGTCTAGATTTTGTAGATTCCCTAGAGTCGTAGGTACTTGTCCAGTAAATGAATTGATGTCAAGATCCAGTATTTTAAGTCTAGATAAATTTGAAATAGACATGGGAATTTCTCCCCTCAATTGATTATCGCTAAGATAGACTAGGAACAGATTGGGGAGCACATTGCCTACTGATGATGGTAGATTGCCAGAGATTCTGTTCTCTGAAAGCTCAATCGTTATTAACTTGGAGAGATTGAAGATAGATTCAGGTATTTCACCCTCAAGTTTGTTTTGGTACAAATTCAAAACTCTTAAACTTGATAGTTGTCCCAATTCTCGAGGGATGTGACCGTGAAAACTGTTGTTACCAATACCTAAATTCTCCAAATTTGACAAATTTCCAATTGAATATGGAATAGTTCCTGTGATGTGGTGTTTGTTAGGACACTAAAATGAATAATAAAGCTACTCAGAAGTAAATAGTTATTTATTTATTTATTTTTTCCAACTAGGCCTTGATTTCTGGTAGATAACTAGTTACCTGTCAAGTGATTGCTATCCAAAATTAAAGCTTGAAGCATGGATAAGTTTCCAATTTCAAATGGAATACGTCCTGTCAAAGCATGATAAGATATTCAAAAATTGGAATGTAACGTCAAATATTTATAATTTCAAATAGTATATTCAAATATTCGTTTGGCAATAATAAACAGGTAAATAAGATATCAAAATATTAAATTCAAATATTAGTTGTTCTAGATTTTATTAATAGAACGAAAGTGGTTCTGTATTGACGTATATAAAAATAATAAAATATTAAATTATTAAATATGCAAGTTGATTAGTAGGATTTCATTCTTATTATGTACTTCTATTAAGTTACAAGGGTTACATTGTGAGATTTATTCTTCAAAAAAAAAAGATAGTTATAGCTTTAGTTACCGATTGAAGAAGTCCTCATTATATTGTTGTTATTGTTATACGTAGAATCCACATGGAAGCCACGTAGGCTCCTTTGAACAAGCGAGGATTGCGTAAGCCAAATCATGTAGCAGTTTCGTGTGTATCTCCCACTCTTTGCATGGCGATTATATTGTTGTTATTGTTATACGTAGAATCCACATGGAAGCCACGTAGGCTCCTTTGAACAAGCGAGGATTGCGTAAGCCGAATCATGTAGCAGTTTCGTGTGTATCTCCCACTCTTTGCATGGCGAGGGCAAGGTAGTATGAATTGTGAGTCCCATCTCAAACAGTACCACTTCATCCCATACGGTCTTCCCATGAACAAAAGATGTAATAATGCCTCGCCCCATTCGTCAAGAGTTAGCACTTGGTCGCCAAACTACGATAGTGATCGCTTGGCAAATTAAGGGATTGACTTATCTAGAACTCATAAGGATAAGGACAACTGGCCATAGCTTAAGAGGATGTGTTTTGTAAAAAAATTACCTTATCAACTCCTTAATATCCACGCGAAATCCATGGGGATCAAGGAAAATGGAAACAATTTAGGCGGTGGATTAGGTGGGGACCTCTGTTGGCTGTTTATACAGCTTTGTGGACCTGTAATGTGTGAAAATAACATCGAAAATGCACCAGCAGCAAGAAGGGAAGAAGCTGGAGATGTAGGGGAAAAAAGAGGTCTGGGAAGAAGGAAAAAATGTGAGACAACTGGGTTACAAATCTGATTTTTCAATCTTTTGTACAACAGCCTTTTTTACATTATAAAATGTGAAATTTTAACCTACTACAATACATAAAATCAACTTTACACTTGTCTATTTTACAGTCCTTGGATTAGACAAAATAAAGAAATATTTCTTTGACTTTCTAAACACATTACACATCAACATTCTCCCCCTTAAATATGTTTTTCTTGAACTCCAAGTGCAGCTCTTAGTTGTTGAAACTTTGATGTCGAAAGTCCCTTTGTGAAGATATCCGCCACTTGTTCTTCGGACTTGCAATAGTTTAGTTCAACTTCTCCATCTTCAATTGTATCTCGAATGAAGTGATACTTGATTGCAATGTGCCTTGTTCTACTATGAAAACATGGATTCTTTGCCATTGCAATAGCTGATTTGTTGTCACAAAACAATGGTGTGGCTTTTCCTTGCTTCTCTCCAATATCTTCCAAATTCTCCTTAGCCATATAGCTCGTGAAGTTGCAATAGAGGCTGACATATATTCCGCTTCAGCTGAGGATTGAGCAACAAATTGTTGCTTCTTGGATAGCAATAAAAACACTCCTGAGCCAAAGGAAAATGCATAGCCGGAGGTGCTCTTCATATCATCAACACAACCTCCACCAATCACTATCACAAAAGCTTCTTAACTTCACTTCCAAAATTCTTCTCAAATCTGATCCCAAAGTTTAATATCCCCATTATATACCTCAAACCTCTTTTTCCAACACCAAAATGTTTATGACTTGGAGTACTCATAAACCTTGAAAGCAAACTTGCGGCAAACATGATATCTGATCTTGTTGCAATGAGATAAATCAAGCTTCTATAAAGAGTTTCATAAATCTTCTTTTCTCCATCATCTTTCATCAATTTCTCATTGCAAGCCAAAAGAGTTTCCACACATTTACATCCAAATATTCTAAAAATTTTAAGCACTTTTTCGGCATACTTCATTTGAGAAATAAACACCCCATTTTCATCTTGATATACTTCCATGCCAAGAAAATGATACAACAAACTCAAATTACTCGTTTCATATCTTTTCATCATTTTAACTTTAAATTTTTCAATCATTTTTGCATTAATTCCCGTAAAATCCAAATCATCAACATATAATGCAATAATAAAAACATCTGTGTTATCTTGATGTTTCACGTACAAGGTTGGCTCACTTTTGCTATTCAAAAATCCATGTCATTGAAAATAGCCATCAATTTGACTATACCATGCTCTTGGTGCTTGTTTGAGACCATACAAAGCCTTTCTTAGTTTATACACTTTGTCTTCTTCTCCTTTGATGATAAAGCCTTGAGGTTGTTCAACATATATCTCTTATTTGAATTCTATATTCAAAAGGGCTGACTTGACATCAAGTTTGTACGACAACCAACCTTTTTGGGCTGCAAGAGCAATGGGTGCTCTAATGGTGTCTAGACGAGCAACCGGAAGTTTCATCATAATCAATGCCGGGCCGTTGTGCATAGCCTTTCATCACCAATCTTGCTTTGTTTCTCTTGAATGAACCATTGGAATTATGCTTCACCTTATAGACCCATTTCACACCAATGACATCTTTTTCACTTGGTCTTTCAATTAACTCCCAAGTGTTGTTTTTCTCAATAACTTCTATTTCTTCCTCCATTGCTTTTTTCCAACACTTCTCCTTCATTGATTCTTCAAAGTTATCGGACTCAATCATACAAAAGTTAAATCTTGCAAGAACATCATTTAAATCCTACATTTTTCTTAGAGTTGAGCTTGATGATGATGAATTTGAGCTTGAGGGGCTGCTTGGTGACGATAAATGTGAGCTTGAATGAACTCCATTTTCTTCATTTTGTACATTTTCAATGGTAGATTTTTGGGGTAGATTTATTGAAACTAGAATGCTTCTTTCAACTTCTTCTTTTTCCCAATTCCAGGTAGCATTTTCATCAAACAATACATTACGGCTGACAATTACTTTATTCCTCTTCAAGTTGTACAACTTATAGCCCTTTAATTGTGAGCTATAACCAATGAAGATACATTTTTCACTTTCTTCATCAAGTTTGCAATGCTTCTTTTTTGGCACTTGAGCATAACAAAGACATCCAAACACTTTCAAGTGTGTCACCGAAGGTTTTCTCCAATACCAAGCTTCAATAGGAGTCATGTTCCATACCGCCTTTGTTGGGCATCGATTTAGTGTTTGTTTGGTAAAGATTAAAGTTCAATTAAAATTGAAAATATAGTCGTTATTGGGTCCCACTNGAATTTTCAATTCTACTTTATTACTTGTTACGAACCGTACACTTGCGGTGATTTAAAACGAACAATTATTTTCGTGAACAGCCAACCCCTTATTGCTTCTTTTTTTCTTGGATCCACTGCTACTCCTTTGGTTATAACATGTCCTAGAAAGGAAACTTGGTCCAGCTAGAATTCATACTTTTTGACTTGGCGTATAACTGTTTCTCCTTAAAAATTTGTAGTACAATTCTCAAATGTTCTCGATGCTCTTCTTTGATTTTGGAGTAGATCAAAATATCGTCAATAAAACTGATAACAAATTTATTAAGAAATTCTTTAAAAACTCTAATCATCAGGTCCATAAAAGTTGCAGGTACATTGGTCAATCCAAATGACATTACTAAGAGTTCATAATGTCCTAATCTAGTATTGAATGTTTTTTTCTCTACATCTTCGGCCTTAAATTTCAGCTGGTGGTAGCCAGAATGAAGGTCAATTTTTGAAAATGCCGAAGCTCTTTTTAATTGATCAAACATATCGTCAAATCTAGGTAAAGGGTACTTGTTCTTTATTATTATCTAGTTCAATCCTTGATAGTTTATGCAAAGTAGCATGGTTCCATCCTTTTTGACAAATAGTTCTACGGCTTCCATTCTTTTTGTCAAATAATACTATGGCACCCCAATATGAAAAGCTTGGACAAATAAATCCTTTAGCTAACAATTCATCTAACTGGACCTTTAATTCCTGTAATTTGGCTAGAGTCATTCTATAAGGTGTCTTGGAGATTGGGTCGGTTCCCGAAACTAGGTCGATGGTGAATTCTACCTCTCTATCCACAGGTAATCCGGGTAGATCTTTTGGAAAAACTTGAATGAATTCTTTCACTATAGGTATTTCTTCAAGAGATTTATTCGTTTTAACTTGAATCTAATTTTAAAAAATTGGATACTAAGAATCTTGGGAAAAGGTTATAATTTGATTGTCTAAAAGACTTCAATTTTCTTTCGATAATTTATTATAACTTGATTTTTAGATGGCCAATACATTCCTAGGATTATATCGAAATCCTGAAGAATAATAGGAATTAAATTGGCTCAAAAAGAAAATATTCCTATTTTAATTGGTATTTATGAGATTTGGAATTGAACTTTCTATTTAGGTCCAAAGGGTCTCGTTATTTCAACTTCAATTTTCATAAGGTCGTTGAAGGTTATGTATTCGTATGAATTGAACAACTACAAATTAATGTGTTGCGTTAGAATCAAAAATTGTAAGCTAGTTTGCCACCTCTAAAAGTGTACTTGTCACCACATTGTTATCTGTAGTACCCGAGTTTCCCCAGCTAATGCAAATACTCTCATCAGGTACGACATTAGTAGGCTTTGAAGGACAATCCCGCATCTTGTGTCCATCCGTATCGACATTTACTACCATAGAGCTTCCCACATTTATTGCAAGTTGGAATATTAGTTGATGTGGTAGGATTTTTAGTTTTTCTTTTTTATTCTAAGGATTTTTAGTATTTGTTTTGCTCAATCTTTTGTTATTACTTCATCTTGGTTTGGTTTGGTTTGGTGATCCTTACTCCATGTTCTAGGAGGGAAACATGATCTTTGGCTAATTTGTTGGGCTTCCCTAGCCTCGTCTACTTTTAGCCCCGCTTACTTTGTAATTAGGTTATGATTAGCTATAATTGAAAATGAAACACTCTGAGTTCCAGTCATTTTAACATCTTGGTTAAGTTTCGGACATAGGCCTTCTAAGAAACATTCGACTTCATGCTCATCCGTGCTAAACATATGAGGAATAAATTGGGATACGTCGAACTTCTATATATGTTGGTTGTTTATACCGCTTTGTGGACCTGTAATGTGTGAAGATAAAAGCAGAAAAACACTAGCAGTTAGAAAGGAAGAAGCTTGAGATGTAGGGAAAAAACAGAGGTCTGGGAATAAGGAAAAAAACGTGAGACAACTGAGCTGAAAATCTGATTTTTTCAATCTACTGTACAACTGCCTTTTTTTACATTATAAAAGGTGAAATTTTAACCAACGACAATACATAAAATCAACCATACACTTGTCTATTTTACTACCCTTGGATTAGACAAAATAAAGAAGTATTTCTCTGACTTTCTAAACACATTACACATCAACAACTTCTTTAAAGCCCATTTTATATACGTAGTGGAAATTACACCCCACACCTAATTTTCAAGTTCCCAATTCAAAAGTAAAGTTTAAAGATTTTTTGTTGAAAATTAGGTGATAGTTTACTTTTAAATATTAATAATATTATTATAAAATTAAATTAATCTACCCATCCCACCACATCCACCCCAACTTAATTAAACTCTCAACCCCTAATTCATTTCCCTACCTATTCTCTCTTTATCCCTTTCTCTTCACCCACCACCTCTTTATTTCAGTGCCACCATGAGACCGACACCCCTCTTTTGGCATGATGCGACTACCAGTCGTGATCGCCGTGCTTAGCGAAGCAGAATCTCTGAGCGCGACGGTGCCTCACTGCGTGTGGTTTGGGATGTAGATGGTTTGTTGGTGGATAATTTTCAAGATTATAGTAGTTTAATTTTAATTTATTAATTTTGTTTATGGAGTTTAATATTTTGAATTACTTGACCAATAATTCGATGATTTTGTGAATCTATAACGAATGGAAATGTAAATTATAGATTTAGATCACAAAATAAAATTTGGTAATTTGGATAAAATTGTAGAAATGCCCATTGTGGTTATCATAGTCGTTACATGGATTCTTAGAACTTTAAAGCATTTAATTAATGTTTATTCAAATTCACATACACTACAAAAAAAAAACGGATTTCGCGACAAACAAATGTTGTCGCAAAAATTGAGTTTTTGTTGCAAAAGTAATTTAGCGACAACAATACGTTCGTTGCGGATATTGTCGCTCTATATGAGTCACAGAATGTGTTTTGCGACGACTTTCATACATTCGTCGTAGTATCAAAATCGCGATACTATTTGTTTGACGCAGAAAATACGAAATGGCAACACAATATCTGTAACCATAATGTCGTCGCATTGCATATATGTCGCAAAAAATTTAAAGGGCGACAAGTGCGTTTGTCGCAACTAATGTTCCAATAAAGTTTTTACGACAAATATGTTCATTTCGAATGTTGAGTTACTGAACATATTTTGCGACAATTTTCGACCATTCATTGCAGTAACAAAATAGCGACACTATTTGTTCGACGCAAAAAATATGAAATGGCAACACAATATTTGTAGCCAAAATGTCGTCGCAATGTATATATGTCGTGAAAAAATTAAAAGGCGACAAGTGTTTTTGTTTCGAATGTTGAGTCACCGAACGTATTTTGCGACAACTTTCGACCATTCATGGCAGTAACAAAATCGCGACACTATTTGTTTGACGCAAAAAATATGAAATGGCAACACAATATTTGTAGCCATAATGTCGTCGCAATGTATATATGTCGC